TATAGTATATATATATATAGTATATATATACTATATATATATATATATATATATGTATAGTATATATACTATATATATATATATATATATATATATATACAACACACACACACACACATACATATATATATATATATATATATATATAAGAGATATACATATATATTTGTATTTGTACTTATACACATACACACACATACATACTTATTCTTTGTATTTTTTGCCATGTTCTGTACATTGTATCTCACTTTCTCACACCCATTACTTGCTGTTCTTTGTCTCTCTTAGCCTCCAACTGAAGGAATGGAGATGGTTCAGGGTGCTCCGCCAGCGTCGGGGCAGTTCACTGAAGCGCGCGCTAATGTGTTCAAAATCCTCTTCCGCGAATACGGTCTGCCCATATTCACTATTCTTAAACCGCACCTCATTCGGCTGTGCGAATCAGACAAGCGGCACTCCCAGTGGACGGTATGACTCACCCGCTTTTGTCTATTTGGGGCTTATGTTTTTTTAAGGCATCAGAGTTTTAGGAACTATTTGTTTTAGGGTTTTAGGGTTCACTGAGTCGGTTGATTACTCGGCTCGTTCGTTTGAAGTGCCTATTGAGGGTTTCTCGAGATGGCAGAGCTTCTCCTAGGCCTCACTTTTGTCACCTATTCCTCACCAACATCTCTGGCACTTTTAGGGTTTCGGGTTTAAAATCCTAAATCCTGATTCTTTGTATATCATTTGGGTATCCGCGTGCACCGCTCGTTTTTCACCCCATTTTGTCTTTACGCGACCTCTCCGGCATCATCTTATAATGCGTTACCACCATTTGTACTTTTCATCAGCTTATTCCTTTCTTATCCGCTTTGAGTTTAAAATAAACAACCGATGGTTTAACGTCTTGGTTGTTCCATCTGTATGCCCTGCCGTCCTCTCAGTCTCATACATTACGCATATTTCATATATGTTTAAGTCACATGTTCGTTGCATACATTACCCCTATTTTCATATCTGTTTGAGTCACATGTTCGTTACATACATTACCCCTATTTTTATATCTATTTAAGTCACATGTTCGTTACATACACGTAGGCTGCTGAGATCATCGCGGGAGTATCCCGTGGGGCGAAGCACTGGACATACACTGACTCGTCGGCCATGTGGGACTGCGTAGTGCTTTTGGTGCGCAAAGTGTTCGATCAAATGCCCAACGAAATGATCTCCGACTGGACCATGAGTGTGCAGTACTGGACGTACGACAGAGACCCACGCCGCATGGCACCACTGCTACGACTGCTGGTAAGCGAGCGCTTTATAAAAAGTACATATGTAAATATGTATATGTACGTG